TTCATTTAATTACTATGCAGATTCAGGGTTCAGTTTTTTTCACAGCTGTGGAACTGAGGATATGGAGAACATACCTTTAATTAAAAGCAAACAAAAAGTACTCCAAACTGTGATTTTAATGTGGCACGTGGAGAATTTATTTACCAGATTACTCAGACTCAATCTAGTACTCGTGGGGAAAACCAACACCATAAACCAAATAGGAGTCTGGCTGTAACATGCTAAAATGTTCACATTTCTTACCTTAAGCTTTTTTAGAAAAAAGAATCAGCTGACAGCGTCATACACTTCTATTTAAAATTAGACTGCCTAAAAGAAATCTCTGTGGCCCTGACTAATACATAATTTCACTCTTCTGCAGTAGCTAAGTGAGATTACAGTCATTTCTATTTTAAGGTTTCTTAAGTATTTAAAGCCTTTGATGTCGTCCTGAAAATCCAGTCATGTCACTGCAACGTTTAAAAGAAAATCTGTGGGTTTTTTTTTAACACCCTGGCTTTTTATTTTTCAAAAATGAGTTTCATTTTTAATAGTCCTTTCATCTTTGGATTTAGCAATGTATTTTATTCATGGTCAAAGCATCCTCTAGCAAGATTACTAGTGGTGACTTTGAGCAATGACTCTCTGTCATCACCTTAACTGATTTGGAAGTTAGTTTGTACTGATTCTAAATATTCCTTTACCGTGGGCTTTTAAAACAAATCTATTCAAAAGCTGTAGTACATGCAACTGCAATGCAACTCAAATACTTTTTTTTTAAATCCAGAAAGAAAAATGAAAAAATGCTATTTATCTTCCATGAAAAAATTATATCCATTTAAGCTACTTTTTGAGGCAGCCATCTCAACCATATAAAAATGAAGGCACAGATATTAAATTAGAATATTAATTTTCTTTGCAAGTTTAAGTCCATATTATTTTTTCCTTATTAATATTACATATTGAAATATGTAAGAGATCATAGGTGAATGATAGATTTTTATTGTCATGTTGGATTCTATAAAACATCAGAAAAGACGTTGCCTAAACTTTCAAAAGCCAGAATGAAAGAAAATGTGCCTCAGAAGTAGTTCAACTTTTTTCAAGTGTTTTTTTTCATTGTGCATATGAGATAAATACATGTGAATATGCAAAGACTGTTCTGATTTGCTATACCGTATGCAAACAGAGAGTCCTCCTCTTTATATTCCCCTATTGGTCTCTCCTCACTGTCCAAAATCATGTTATAAAACTGAGAACATGAGCCCCTTTGAATATAAATACCTGATTTTTTCAAGTGGGCTGAGTTTGGGCAATCAGGTACTTGATGTCAGGTACAGAGGAAAATGAATCGATTAAATGCAGACCTCTGCCAAAGATACATATTCAAATACTCTTTGATCTTGTATAGAGCTCTTCATTATATATGATTTTCTTTATTTGCCAAGTAGCTATGATTCTAGTAGCCAGAAATAAGTTAATCTTGCCAGCTTTGTATTGGAAAATGGAGCTCATGGTTTATGCAACTGATATACTGCCGTTCTTAAGTACAAGAAGTTAAAACATTTACGAATTATTTCTTGTAGATAGAAATTGAGCATAAAGTGGTAAGCTTGTGTTAATATGAAGAGATGAAATGAACTCACTAGTTGAAATCTCTGAGAAAAACTTCTGACGGGATTCAGTCCCCTCTAGAGCACGAGTGAGACATCTCCACAGCTACTCTGTTAGCACCTTTCTAAAACATTCCTGTACCATGAAGTAAAAAGACTGTTCAGACAACCGTAGTGAAACAAAAAAACCAAACCCTACTGTGTTTTAAGAAAATTGATGCACAGAGGAATGTGCTGAAGCACATGATGCTGAGGCATCTGAAGAAGCTTTCAGCATTTGCTAAATAATTCATGTTTTTGGATTAATATATTTTTGTTTTGGAAACTAATGTTCTTATTAATTCTATCTCACCCACTTTGTAGAATAAGTTTCCTTTAAACCTTGAAGTCATTAGAATTGCTAATTCTAAATGTTAGAAGTTAACTGGCCAAGAAGCAGAGTTTTTGGGGGGATGAGGCTCATCTCTCATTGAAGTAGAAATAGGGATAAAAATATTCAGAAAAACAGAATACAATATCTGAAGTAGATGTTTTGAGTTTTATAAAGTTACAGCCAAACTTTGCAGTTAAACACAGCTGACAGGAAAAGATAATTAATAAAAACTAAGAATAAGTTACAGTTTAGATTGCTCTCTTCTTTAAATGATGAATGTAGTTACTGAAAATGCTGTTTTCTTCCTATTAGGAAAACCCCATTAAATTCTATCAAGTGTGAAGTAATTTCTTTTTTGCAATGTCAGTTTTAGCACGTGTATTTTTCCACTTTCATTGTTTTTATAATGCAATCTGAACTCAGATTGCATCTTCTGCCACAAAGTTCACTTCAAATGTTCCCTTTGTCCAGGGAGGCACACGCATGCCTGTATGAACAAGCAGATGTAGGCAGAGGCACTGTGGAGGCTCAGTCATCAGTATTAGCAATCATTACACGTTTCTTGAAAATAAGAAAAAATACTTCCAATTTTGGCAGGTGTCTTTCTTGCCCTTATTAGTTACTTTTAATTTCTCTGTAATCTCTGTTAATCCTGAGTATGCAAAGTCCTTAAATAACAGGAACAGACGTGCAGTCACCAAATTCTTAAGTAATGCTGAACACTCTGCATATGTACTTTGCCAGTCCAGCCTGCTTGCTTCTCTAGATTAACAAAACGTTGCTGCTGTAATCTCCTTACCTGACTGACTTCAGAGAGCCTACAGGGACTCCTTAGCAGGCAGGCCAATGTGTTCCAGTCACAGAAGTCCAGAAACATGAGTTGTTAGCTTACTAAAGTTCACAGCTGCTGTTGGCCTCAGGTTAGAAAACAGAATTTGTACTAATTTTTATTACCCTTGTAATCAAGCAGCCAAAATTAGGCTAACTTTATCTAGCTTGAGATTTTTATGATCATGCGATTCAGTGTATCCAAAAAAATGTCAATTCCATCTACTACTGGTGTAACTTTTTACTATGACCCAGAAAACCTTGGAAAAGTTCCCTAGGAGAAAGAAGCATTACAAGCTGTTTTCCGCATTTTTGCTAAGTGATTAAACCAAAAAACACATTTACCGATTTTGATTTTGACTTCATGCTAAAGAAACTTCAGAAATTTTGCTGGTTTAAGATTATAAAAGTCTGAAATAGATGAAGTTTTGTTGCTAACACTTTTTTTGATGCCTCTGAAAATAGCCAGTCATAGAAGTCACGCAGAACTGGAGATGACAGGGAAAGAGGTGATTTGGCAGATAATACTCCACAGAGGAAAATGCTTTTGCAGTGTCTTATTCATTTTTCTTTTCTAATAAATCAGAGTTGTGCAGTATATATTTAAACAGACATACCAAATAATATTCACTCAAAACAGCAAAGTTTTAGGGTAAGTTACAACTATTTTAATAGCAAACAAGCTGTGTAAAGCTATACCAAAAGTTGTCATAATGTAAATGCGGAGTACCATTGGGTGGCTGCTTAGTTGAGTCTTAAGCAGATGAAGTCTTGCAGTCCTTCCTTAAACTCCAGCTGCTTCTAATTGCTGCAGATTTTTTGAAAAGAGGTAGCCTGTAAGACATGCAGCTGCCAAATCAGAAAGGTCAAAGCCAACATGTTCACATTCAGTGACAAAAACAATTTGTGCTGATTATGGAGCAAAAGAGCACGCATGATAGAAAGCCCTTTTCAGTGTGGCAGCTGTGTTCAGCCTAGCGGCCGATCTTTAAATGGCTCTGCTCCCTATAGCATGTGCTGTGTTGTGCCACCTCAGAAGCGAACCAACAAGATTGCTTGGGTCAAATCTTTAAAACTGATGAAAGCTTTATTGATAGCTGCATTCAGAAGAGCACTGAATGCCATGCACACTTAGTTTCACTGTCTAATTTTAAGTCCTAAAATTTGGAATCACTTGGGAGTCATTTTTGTTGGACTTTCTTCTTCCTTTTGAATTCTTGTATTCAAATATAAATAACAGCAAGTCTTTTGACTCATCAGAAAATGCAACAAATGTCATTCTTTTTCACTCTGGCTTGTTTTCAGGTAAGCATTTTTTTTCTTTTTTTTTTTTTTTCCTGATTAAGTTTGTGCACATAGAAACACTTAAACCCTTGCAGAGTTTAAATGAGCAGCTATTTAAAGATTTACTTTGTACTTTGTGAAGTTTGTCTCATTTCTTGATGTACTCTGCTGAAGTTAACTTTTGACTTTAGTGTGTCACAGTGTCTTATTAACAGCATGTTTGTGATTTGTAAGGTAAAGCACTGATCTCTCCTTGGGTGATAACCTTCCTTTGGAATGACTGTGTTTTTGAATGTTCTCAGTATTTCATAACTTCAGACTTCAGAATTTTAAAATGCTTACAAAAAGATGTAGAAATTTGTTCCAGGTAAGTGATGTAAAATCTCATCTGACAGTACACAGTCCAGGTGATTTTGCTTCGAAATAATTTGTATTTACAAAGCAAACGTGTAGTATAACCATAATTTATATTTTTATGGTGTTAACATCTCTGTCCTGAACCGGCTATATATCTGTTTATGCTTTTTCGACCCTTTTTTCTAATATTTATTCTTTGTCTATAATAACCAGGAATTCTATACTTCCACTGTGAGATCATAAGCACTGACACCAGCACGTATCCATTGGCTGGATAATAAGGATAAGAACCCCTTAGTTACCAGCCTGTATTCTCTCTCAAATCATTAAATAAAGAAACAGACATTGTCATATCCTGAAAGCATTCTCTTTTCCATTCTGAAATCGATACTGCATGAGAGTATGATATATTAGGTGAATTTAAATTTATGAAAATAAACTAAGAACTTTGAGTTACGTGTAATTCTTATATTTTATTCGTTTGGTGGGTTGCTTTCTTTATTAAAAAAAAAAAAAAAGGTGTTTTATAAATTAACCTGTTCTTTTCCACTTTTATCCTTTCCAAGGTTATGCCTTCCTGTTGTTCCAGGAAGAAAGCTCTGTACAAGCTCTGATAGATGCCTGTCTGGAAGAAGATGGGAAACTTTACCTGTGTGTATCAAGTCCCACAATCAAGGATAAACCAGTAAGTAGCTTATGCCATGACACCTATGCTGGCTGCTAACCCATTTGCTGTTACTCTTTTCAGCTAAATAAATAAATAACTACTTACTGTTAATTGACTTGTCCATTTCCTGCTGCTGCCCTTGATGTTACATTGAATTGACTTTCTGTATCAGTGTAACACAGTTTTAACATTTGCTTCTTTCTGATAAATGTCACATTCAATTAACTTTTATATTTGGTACTTCTGGTGTCTCAAAGGAATATGCATCCTTTTACAAAGTTAGTTATAAAACAATTAGATTCAGCATTTTTCACTCCACATTATTTGAAAGAAAGCTTTATGCAATGAAATGAAAAATTTAACTATCTTCTCTTCTTTTCCTCCATTAAATACCAGGTAATTTCAAATATCCCCTGTAATCCATTATTTTTCTTAATCATTATTTGTCCTGAATGCAATTACCCAGACATTTATAACTTAGGTATGTCCAATTTATCATATATAAACTGAAGGGTAACAGAAGTAATGCAGAAAGCTAGGGTAGAACATATGGTATCTTGTTTCTATTGTTAACATTTCTAATACCCTTCAAAGCTAGTCTTTTTCATGGCTATGGACACATACAGATTAAATAGAAACTACAAATAAATATAATTAGATAAAAAAAAATATGTTGCCTTCTTAAAATGCTATTAAAAAGCTTACACAGATAAATGAACAATCTAATATTACAGCACAGTCAGTGTGTGCATGTACTAACATTGACAAGCAGATACGAACAGCTTTATATCCAAATGACTTGAGAGCATTTTCTCTCTACATAGTTTGAAGATTTCTGCTCAGCTGGTTAACAGAAGTGGGCAACTGCACTTTCAAAATAAACTCTTTTTGTATTTCAAGCACAGAAATTTCTCTCTTTCCATTTATCAGTGCTTAAAAATGTGTGGTTCCTTCACTGTGAAGTCCAAACTCCATTGGTAATTATGTACAGGTGATAAAATGTTCTGGAAGTCCTTTCACAGATTGCTTGTTATAAATGGCAGTTGGGGGGCAGGGAACTAATGAGGTAGTGAGTTTGCTAGGATGAAAAATTTAACTCAAGCCTGGCCTCTAGAGGTGATAAATTAATTGTCCACCTCCTCTCAAACACTTAGATAAGCTATGTTCTTGGTGTTTTGGTGCTCACACCACTGATTCACAGCTTTTACTGAATTATATTGTTAATTAGAGTATGATTTAGTAACTCTTTCTTTATTTTGAGTTGTCAACTTCTTCTACTAACAATAATCTCTAATTCCCTTTACAGGTGCAAATTCGACCTTGGAACCTAAGTGACAGTGACTTTGTGATGGATGGGTCTCAGCCTTTGGACCCAAGAAAAACTATTTTTGTTGGAGGAGTTCCACGGCCCCTCCGAGCTGGTGAGTTAAAGGAAAAATGCTGGGCATGTAACAGAGTTTTCAGATTAAGCAGAAAACATTAAAGGTAGAAAAGATGTACAGCATGTGTAAAAGAAACAGCAGAAAATATATCCTGTATTTTCTCAAGATCACAGCTCACTTTCTAAGTCAGTTAATTTCTTTTTGTCTACAAAATACAAAACCTGAATTTTTTATCTTCTATATAGATTGCTGATTTGGATAATAAATAGAAACAGTTTTCCTCAAATTTGCATGATATACAGAAACTGGCTGATTTTCTGTATATATCCACCATCTTAACCCTGATTTGCTTGCTGAGATGCAGATGAGTTTCCCTGCCCTTTGACTAGAATACAAACTTCTCCAAGCTCCTTTCCAACTCTTTAATTTCTCCCTTTCTGATCCCAAACTCTAACTTTCCTGTGGAGCTATGGATAAGGCCTCAGCTTGTGTTCAGAAGATTTCTCCCTGTCCGTTTCTCTTGTAGCCCCATTCTGTACTGAAGGCTACTTTCCAGACCCACTCCTAGCCCCCTGCAACTGTAACTCCTTGCTTTCTCTTTCTTCCAAGCCCACTCTTATCCATAATTCTTCTGGGAAGCTGTATGCAAGATCCTCAGTCATTGATTGCTCTCAGAAAGATTTCTCCTAGCCCAGGTTTCTGGCAGCTTCCATTTTCCTCACCATCTTAAAATAAGGCATAATTGTAAGAGAGGATAATTATGTAACTGATAACAATTAAACACCACCTCACTTCTAATGATAGCATTTCACAAAACTGTATGTCATTTGGCCTTTCATAGATTGTTAATGCGTTACATTTGAAAACGGGTAGTTACGTTCTCCAAAGCAGACAGTGAGTTTCCAGCTCTCGTTTGCAACTTTCAAGGTCTCATTCAGACACTTTATGTAAGATATCTGAACACTGCGTGGTTTCCTCCTCCTGGAATCATGTATATTCTTTGCCTGTCGGCAAGAATAACTTGCTGAAATTATTTAAAATGCTTTTAAAAGCTCTTGTTTATTCCAGACAGTTACTTTCTGAGATCATTACCTAAATAATGGTTACAAATCGCAGGAAAGCAAAAGAATATTTTGGTCTGTATGTCCTGGAGGTAGCTTCCCCTTACTGTTTGGAGTATGAATTTGATATAGTTTGGTGAAATGGGTTGGACATTTGTTTGCTTGTTGCAAATGGACAAATTAGCATTTGGTCTTTTGACAATGTGACACTTGTTTATACAAATGCATGTTTAAATAATTAAACACATTCAGTTTAATAATTGGCTATATTCTACACGTAGGTGACAAGTTTTGTGAGAATTTCAATGGTTTAAATATAATAACCTTTTCCCTTCATCTCAGATTTCTAAATTTTAGCTTGCTACCAAAGAGTTTTCACATGTTGGAATTAAAAAAAAATAAATCATTGACTTGGCAGGTCCCAATACCTTGCTTTGAGGGTTTGTCCTTCATCCATCAAATTTGTTTCACTATCAGCTTATAGAGAGAGAATGGCTCAGCAACCACATGTCTTCACACACTTTACATGCCTCTTCTCCATTTCCTTCAGCTCTTTATCTTCCCCTTCTTTCTGTATGTTTCCTTAGCCATTCACTCACGCTGTCTTCTGAGTGATGTTTATAACTTTCTTTTGAGTTGTTTATGTCAGGAAAAACAGCAAACCATTTTAAAAGACCCCAAATCAAGTTAATATTCTAGAAATATAACAAATTAAAATTCATCCTAAATGTTGGCATGTGTTAAATATAACTTCTGGTGTTTCACCAAATTTTGTTTCATACATGAAATACTTCCTTAATGTCTTTTCAGACGTGTAGGCTAAAAGAGCAGATTCTAAATGAAGGAGTATATTTAAGTGACCTTATATTTAAACTAGTGTTAGCAATCCTTGCTGGTGTTGGGATAAACCCTGAGTACTTAATCTCAAACATCACAGTTTCAATTTGCAATATGATAAATTCTAGAAAAGTTGATCTGATTCCTACTCTCACAGGGTGCATTCTTTCTACAATTCAATCACAGCAAGTTTCATTTTTAGTCTTTTTCTTTATATTTTACTGTAAGTTATATAGAGTTGTTTCAAGCTGTTTAAAACCAACGTGTAGGTTTGCGATTTTAGACTTTGGACACAGGCATACTAAGGCATACAAATACCACTACTTTTTAATCCAGCAAATCAAACAAAACTGTTATTTATGTTGAATCTATATTTTTAAATTGCCTTCTTGCAGTTGAATTGGCAATGATTATGGACCGTTTATACGGAGGTGTCTGCTATGCTGGCATTGATACAGACCCAGAGTTGAAGTACCCAAAAGGTGCTGGCAGAGTGGCTTTCTCTAATCAGCAGAGCTATATTGCTGCTATCAGTGCTCGCTTTGTCCAGCTCCAACACAATGACATTGATAAACGGGTAAGTAAAATGGTATGAAATGATCGTTACTAAGAGACTAAAAACATCCTTACACTAATACTGTGTAGAAAACTGTTCTTTGGTGTATAATTTTTAATTATTTAGACTATAGTGGAAAAAGTAGACTTTAAAAATCTCAAGTAACAATTTTAACACTGAAACCAGAAAATAGTTGATGGTAAACTCAGTTTAGTCTCAGCTTTTTTGTTTTGAATTCTAAAGGTCAAGCACAGTAGAATTAACCCACCTTCTTTTGAGCTTTAGATGTTTGCTTCTTATGCATCCAGAGATTTTATTTCTGGCTGTCCATGTGGCTTCTGGCTACTTGTATCATTTATGGCAGTTCTGTAGTTACTTTTTCTCTCCACAATGTATGTCTAGCCTTAAAATTCCCCAAATGCAGGTATTGTTGTAGGACTAATAGATAATGACGACCTCAAAATATTGAGTATTATTTAACCAAAAAGAGATGCCAAAAAATGCTTGATGAGTAAATGGGAGGGGAAAAAAACGAGGTGTTTGCTGCCTTTTATTTTTTTTCTCAGTCTATGAGTTCTAAGGGTTTTCCAAGTAGAGGATGAAATTAATGTCTTTACTAAATTCTGAGTTGAAGACATTAAATGAAAAAATTACTTAATTTCCAGATCTTATATCTTCAGACTTTTTATTTTCATCTCTTGATTACATGTACAAACAGCACCCAGGCTTTTGAGGACTTAGCCTTTAAAATTATTCAAAAGAACACGTAACGTGCAGTGCTGGTATGTATAACAATAGGGATGGCTGTTTTTCTACCTAATTATTATGAATTGTTTATTAAGAATCAGCTTGATGTGTCCTGAGCATGTCCGTTATATGCAGTCTGTAGTTAAAAGCACACCTGCAGAGCACACTCCAAACTGGTTTTAGTTTCTCTTTAAAAATCTGGACTATTTTTTTGTTGTTGTCAGATTAGATGAAGTCATAGTTACATCTCCTCAAACCAGTTTTGTGATGCTAGTGCATGTTGTGATTTTATCTAAGATGAGGCTGTTCCTTAGTCTTTTTTGTTCACTGAATTGTTACAATTTCTACTGGGACTCTAATGAAATGAATTTAGGAGGGTTAAATCTTTTGAGGTTTATGTATTACTTGTGCTTGAAAACCTGTTTTCTTCCTAAGCTTTAAGATACATCCACAAATAATGCTAGTTGGTGGTAGTTTTCAACAACCGGTACTCATTCCAGATGGTTGATGGAGAATTAAACTTGCTTCATTATCTTTTATTTGTTTTTAGTGTAGATTTATCCATGAGTTTAAAGAAGCAGTAATTCATTTAATTCTGTCCTCAAATTTTTATCCCCAGTAGACTAAAAACTCTGAATTGTACAGTGCCCGTTCTTAAAACTATTCCACTAGCAATGGAAATAAGAAAGAAGTGAGAGAGTCTATTTCAGACCTTCACAATTCACATTTTGGAAATGTGAGTAGGTGGAGATCTAGAGATATGCTGGACATTGGTCCTTTTTTCTTTCTTCCAATTTCATTTGAGACAATAGCACGGTTTCTGATATGCAGGCATCTTCAGTGTCATACAAGCAGCACAGTGTAATTAAAAAAAAAAAACAAAAACAAAAAAAAACCCTGTTCTATCAGTAGCACAAGCCATAAATATCACTTGCCGTATAAGCTTTACTTCAAATGAGTAGCATTTGTTGATAAATTGAAGTAAAATTCACCATAAGTATTTCTGTGCAAGTTCCTTGTTTTTCAACTTACTGCTTTGTTCTGTGTCTAATATTGTAATCATTTAAGAGTAGTTACTGTGGTCAAATTTCCTATGCAGTAAAACACTTTGTTACAGCAAAATTATTTACTAAGTATGCATATCTCATCTTTTTCTAAGTCTTTTTTTAAATGTAGCTAACTAAACTTAAACGCTTTATCAATAGCATCACAGAGACATAAGAATTACACGTGCACAAACTACTGACTACTCCAGAAGAAATAAACAGTCAATTGAAATGTTATTTAAATTTAAATGCCATGATTCAGAGGAACAGAAACAGGAGAGAACTCGCATGCTGTCAGCTCCTGTAGCAGCATTATGGCAGTGCGTGGTCATACACCAAATGCTGCTGTGGTTGGCACAGGTGCTTTACAAGACAACAACAACATCCCTGTCCTCGGATGTTTACAACTGAGACTAGGACAAAAGTCCACTGCTCCAGCCTATTTGTAATTGATTGCAAGGCCGCAGTTACAACAACTTTGAAATCTTACCATGTTTCTAGAGCTAAATACAAAAGTTAGACAGTGATTTTTGCAAGCATAAGGCAGAGTGTTTAACACTAGTGCATTTAATTTTGTTTAACATGAATCACTTCTTCATCTGTTAGTTTGGTTCTGCATTTTTGCAGTTCACAAAAAGCAACCAACACCAAAAAAAAAAAAACCTCCTCTGAAGCTCATCAGACTCTCAACTCTGAAGTTTAGAAATACAAGTTTGTTTTTATCAGTCAGTTTCCTTCATATGTGCCACTTGCTCTGCCTCATAGCAACTAACGGTATTCACACGGCTGGAAGCTTCCTAGCTGCAAAATCCTCAGTGCACTATTTTTGCCATACTTTGATCTTAATACTGTTCTAAGAAATGTTGAATAGCTATCTAAGTACAGTCTATCTAAGTACAATCCTTGAGATTTTCTGACAAGTAATCTGGTTAGTATGAAAAATCTAACTGCCGAGCCCTTTGGGTTAATCCAGCATCAGTTGGAAACCTTCAACAGAGTCAAAAGAACTGAAATATTGTTCCTTCTATTCATACTTAGGAAAACTGTGTAATCTACTTACAGTTATTTCTGTCTCTCGATGCAGGTGGAAGTGAAGCCATATGTGCTGGATGATCAGATGTGTGACGAATGCCAAGGCACTCGCTGTGGTGGAAAATTTGCTCCGTTCTTTTGTGCCAATGTTACCTGTTTGCAGTATTACTGTGAATACTGCTGGGCAAGCATACACTCTCGTGCTGGGCGAGAGTTCCACAAACCACTGGTAAAGGAGGGAGGTGACCGACCCCGCCACGTGCCGTTCCGCTGGAGCTGAACCCCAGGCCTCCCCCAGCAACAAGTACTGGAGTAGATAAAATCGAGGGAAAAAGAGAGCGCTGCCTCAGGGCTTAGTGTTCTGGAAATTTGTGCATTCGTCCTCGACTTTAATGAAGATATGGGTCTTTTTATTACTATTATTATTATTTACAGTCACATTACTGAACTCAGTGTCCAGTATAATACAAACCGGCAGAGTGTAACTGTACTGATTTTGCACTTTGATTCACACAAACATCTGCTTGGTACCTTAATTTCCTACACAAGACTTGTCACTAGTGACATTATGTAGACTGCCATTCTCATCAGCCTTCACTGGGTTGATGTGTATGTGATGAAGATTTTTTTATTATAATTATAGTTATTTTTATTTTTAAACTGGAGCATGCACTTATTTTCAGAAATTTAGACTTGCCCCTAGCAGATGACTTACCAAAGGTAATATTCACAAGTAGGTGGCAGATGTAGCAAAAACTTAAACAGATATTCAGCAATCGTTAGTTTGGGTCATTTAGCATAGTAATAACCCTTAAAGAAAATAAGCCTTTAGTTGCTCTCCATTTTTGACTTGTAAGGATGATACCTCATAAGCTGGATCAGACTTTTTTTTTCTTTTGTTTTGCTGAGGGTTTTTCTTTCTTTTTTTTTTTTTTTTGTTAGTCTTTTAGTGTTATGTAAATGTATGCTGCAATAGCTTTTGCTGCTATTAAAATGGTATTACTAATACCATAATACTCTATTCAGGCTAGGGTATCAATTAAAAAATGAATATGTGATTAAAATAGTGATGGCTGCTGAAAGGAGATCAGTATAGCATACAGAAAAGCTTCCAAGGAAGGTCAATATTTTTTGACTGCATGTTTACTTAATCAGGTTGCTGCATGCAATAAATTTTATATATGTCTAATATAAAACCTGCCCACAATGCACAAATTACGAGTCTACTTAGGTGACAAAATATTGAGTAACAAAGAAAAAGAAAAAAATGGATTACTGACTGGAGGAAGGCATGCCTCAGTAAATGTAATGCTTCTGAAATTAGGATCAGCCCATTACAGAATGACCTATACTACAACAAATATAAAAACTAGCTGTAGGATATTCATAAAACAAATTTGTGGATGGTAGATGAAGTACTTTGCGGTGCTCTGTTATATATCGTGCAATTTATTTTATATAGTAAGGTGATTATGTCTAGTACTGTGATCAAACTTAACTGTTAAAGCCTCTGTATCCGACATTAACACACTCTTGACAGTTCATAACAGGTACATAAACAGAAATGAGCTCTTAGTTACAATCTCTCTCCTAATGCTTGCACCAGTTACGTAGTTGCAGACTTTGTCCAGAAAACCAAAGAGCTCATACTAGCATACATACACTACCAATTAGATAGTCTGTCAACCTAATGAACTAGGCACATTTAAGAAAGTTAGAAAAAGAAGTGGTGCTAAAGAAATGTCTGCATATAAAAGTAACATGAGATGTCTGCTCTGTGGATGTGGCGTTATCTCTCTAATCCCTGGATGTATCCTGTGAAGCTTGAACACAATTAAGACCTGCTAACACAGTGGACATTTTTTTAGCATGAACTATGGGGCTGCAGATAGCATATAAATATAAACACACTTGGTATACTAATGATTGTGAGAATGTGTACACTATTTTTTTTCTTTTTTTTCCTTTGTTTTTGCAGTTCTGGGGACAATCTGACTGGATATGACACCGCATAGTAGATTTAAATGTTCTGGGTTTTGTTTGTCGTGATGTCCTCGTTTGTGTCTAATTTAGTAAGCTGTTTTTCCCAGTGTTTAGTTGCAAGTATTGGCTTTGAAAGGAACTTTTCTGTTTTTGAAGAAAAAAAAGAAAAAATAGTTTTTTACTGGTTTAAAATGCTAATTATAATTATCCCTTTTGAGGTTACTTCTGGGCATTTTTGTGATATTGCTTTTCCCAGCCCAGGTGTCTTTTCTGTTTTTTTTTCATCTGTACAAGACATTTTGTTATGCACTACTTTTTGTATCTAGACAGTTTTCAACAGTTGGCTGATGATTTTTTTTAAAGAAAAAGGCATGCTTTCTGACTGACATGATCTTTTGCAATACCTCAATTTTGAAATATAGGAAAGAAAATGATATTTTCTAAGTAAGTTTATTCAGAAAAATATATATTAATTTAATTCTGCAAGAAAAATGATTTAACAGATGGGTAACTTTATTTTTTTCATGCTTATTTGAGTTTTTTTGAAAATGAAGAAGTTAGAGCTTTATAACTGTAATATTAAAGATCATAGCTAACCTACAGAAATCTACCTAATTATGTGAACGAAGTAAACCCTTTTGAAGAAATACCCCTCTTTCATGTACAAACATACCCCCGGAGAGTGTGAGAGAGAGAGAAAGAGAGAAAGAGTGAGAGAAAGAGAGAAGCTGGAAGATGTACAATACAGCGTAACGTTGGGTTAAAACTAAAAACAAAATTATCGTGAAAAACAGCTGTAAACAAACTCCATTTGGTGCTGAAAGTTGTGAATAGAAGATGGAAAAAATATTTTCCCTTAATTTGTATATTTATAATCAAGTGTGATTATGCACGACTGACCAGAATTGTGAGAGTTCTTCTGTTTGTATTTTTTTAAAGAGAACTTTTTTTAGTTTATTAAATTATAACATGCTCCCTTTTGTTTTGTAAATGAATGTGCCCCTGAGTTGTTAATATGTTATTATTAAAAGAGGGTCCTTCAAAAAAAAAAGTTATTTTTTAAAATACGGAGTTCTGAACTGCAACTTGACTAAGAAGCCCCTGGGTACAACAGGTCCTATTGTGGCCTTTTCTGATGTGAGACTTGAACTAGTTGATTTTTTGAAGGCTAACCTAACCTCGACTATTTGTTGTTATGTGCAATACTGTTTGTACTGTTTGTATAAAAAAAAAAAAAGAAAAATGAAAAGAAAAAAGGCATAAATCTTTATTGCAGATTTATTTTCATTGCAGACTTTAGACATTGTGATTCACTAAAATCATTTTTCTACTGTCAAATATGTACCTTTTCTTCATGCTGGTATTTTTTCAATAGTAATGTAGCCTTTGTACTGAGACAAATTTTCATTGTTATTTTTAGAAAGATTTTTTGCTAAGAAAAAAATTAAACATATTTACATATTTTTCATTTTTATTTCGTATTTTCTTTAAGGAGTGCTTTCTCAACCATTAATATAGTTGTTTCTGGGAGAGACTTTCATATCTGGTCAATGTCATTAATATTATTTTGTATTTTTACTTGGAATAAATTAATTTTATGATGCTAATTCTTTAAAAGTTTATTTTTTTCATTTTCAGTTATTTTTGAAGCTAAAATCTTTGTAATATTGTTACTAAAGTGTCTAGTTTTTTGAAATGCAAAGCTTTATGTATTAACTTGCTGATGTGGTTTACAATAGTGTGGCAATGATGAAACGGTTGGTTATGTAAAGCGATTGGAAAATTGTAACAAAGAATTGGGCAATAAAATGACAGAATGAAGCAGAAAAAATGTGATATTTTGAAAAGCCTTTTCCTTTATCAAAATGATTTAGGGAGATAATAGGGATGTCACAGTACCAGTTCGCTGTCTAGATTTATACACCACCAGTGTTGATTCAATACGACTGCCGTTACAGATAACTAAATCTATTGAAATGATGGGTTTTTGACCCTGCCCATTCAGCATAATGCTCCATTACTTTTCTTGTCATTAACTTTTCAAAACTCTTTCGATAGTCTTAGACTGAATCTCCTAAAATATATATCCTTCATTGTACTTTTGCCACCCTGTTATTTATTTATTTATGAACTAAAACGACCCTTTCCTGTACAACTTCCTTCTTGCATACATTTATCAGTGGCAGCATGGAGCAGACTGTAGGTACCCACATCATTTTCTAATGAAGTTACCACACAGTGTTGGTAGCTGCCTAGTTAATGCAGAATAACGTATGTCCATTTCCTGGTAGCAATGCAGTAACCCATATTGCCACCTTGTCTGAACATTAGTTCAGCTTCTTTGTCTTTCTCTGTTCTTCTCTGACTCTCCTGTGTCTTTGTCCTTTTTTTCCTTTTGTATTGGCAATACCAAATGCAACATCAAAACATCTGTCACTTCACCTCCATTTAAATCACCTTTGTTTTCCTATGCAGCCAGGAGAAACCCCTTCCTGATGCCAGTGACTGTTCTGTCACCTAAACCAATCCAGACTGAAACTGGTGTTGCGTAAACAGGGCATACAGTGACATTCTCTGGACAAAACAACTACTTCAACGAGTTATTGATGGCCTTTTAGACTAACTTATGCCAGTGTTAGAGTGGCTCATCCATAACTTGTGGGAAGAAGCGTGTCCGGAGTCGGTCTATTGTGTATCCTCTGTGTGTTCAGTTCTGTAAGTAATGTATAGACTAGATCAAATAGTGAAGTAAAATTTAGACTCAAATTAGGTACTACTGGTTGGAATGTATGCAAATTGAAAACAAAGGAGATTAAGGAATGAAGAGGGAATAAATAATTCCTGCTAAGTGGTACAAAGTTTATGCTTATATTTCTGCCTACATGCTTGTATTTTATAGCCTGCTAGCAAGGCATGGGCTAAAACAAATTGTATTGCAAATATGCAGTTAGCAAATAACTTTGCTGATTTCACTGTTAGAGTAGTTTTAAAAAAAGAAAAAAGAAAAAAAAAGAATGGCGCTTAACTGGGAAAAGCTCCCATGTTAATATTTCAGTATTGTGACATCTCTACTTGCAAGGTATGAGTGAAAGATTAGTCACAGATATGTAGAAATGTCTCTTTTGTTTAATCTGGCTTGTATGTAGTTGCTTTTACGCTAGTTTGTATGATGTCAGCTAAATCCTTTTTAAATCCTTTTTCTTTCCCTTCCTTTCCTTTTATCTCTCTTTTTCTTTTTTAAACAAACTTCTTATCTCTGCTGCTATAGTGTTCAGTCATACCACAGAGTATTTTATATTCATGTTAGTGACACTACTGTCTGTACCCCAAATGGGTAGCTGGTCAGAAATCACATTGCTCACATAATTCTGGTACACTCAAATATAAATGAGAAAAAGTTTAGCAGTAAGTAAAAATGAGGGTGCTAATAAGAGGTCATTTTGTTTAATTCCTTTTATTTTTTTTTTCCTGGATGTAGTTCTGTTGGGGTATAAAGTATTAGATATTTGTACTTTTACTGTCAAAGTAATGGACATAACTTTTAGCGCATTCACAGCTAAGATCTCTGTACTTGTTTTTCAACTAATTTTAAATGTACTGTATCTTTTATTACATGTTCTCTTAGATTGTTTTGCTAGTAATTCTAACAAGGCTTCTTCCTTTTTGGCTTGGACTAATGCTTGTATGGAACTGCAGTACTGTGACTAAACATGGAGCTTAATGCTGCTATTGCTTACAACTGCTTAAACTTTGTAGTTTGGACTTTATTTTTTTCTGTAATAACTTATTAAATATAGTTGTATGAAGTACTGACACTTGTCATCCTTTGCACACGCTAAGGAAATCTTGGGGTATGTATCATGGGAATGCAAACAAGCTACAAAAAAACCAAACACCAAATCCTCTATCTATTGTAAAACTTTATACACACCGAACTTGTATGCACTCTTTCCCAATTACTTTGTGAGTACATTGTCCAGTTACAACAGTATCGAGGCCTTTTCAATTACCTTTTCTGAATTTAACAGTTGCCACCTACTTTACGTAATGCTTTCTAACTGGCACTTTAATGATGGCTGCAAGCTAAACATTGGACCAATCGATTAAAAAAAATTGAGAGAGAAAAAACTACAATATTAGTTGCTAATGGTTTCTATGCTAGGAATAGGAGACAATCGACTCAGCAATATAGCTGTTTGGAACAACACAGAATGCTTCCAAGAAAAAACTGTGACTTCTGCTATGTTGGGCTGAGGGGAGACACCACATGAATTATGCATGTTTTATATCACTGTTTTCTTTCATACAGTAGTGTTTCTGTACAAAAACAGCTCAACAACGCTGCTGGAATGATCAGCACTAGAAATCACATACTGACTCCAATGCTAGAAATTAAGCGCCCATTTAGAAAGTATATGAAAAGCTTATGAGGCTGTGTATGCCAACCAAGTATTGTGCACACTCCCTTAGCGGGCAGAGCCTTCCGACTTTGCATTATGCTGTTTTATCCTTACATTACCACGTGCAGTAACTTACATACATGAAAGCAGAAAGCTCGGATGCCAGAGAGCAATGTTCAGGCACTGACTTGTTTTGAAACAGGTAGTGAATGAGTACAGCTCTAAGGAGAACAGTCTGCTGACTGCTCTTCCAGAAGTGGTTTTAGAAGGCAGTGATCTGTAATAGGAATTCTAGTAAATAAATGTATGAAAACCCGTAGACTTCTGGTTACTTCAGAGTTAAATTTGAGAAGGAAGCTCTTACAAATAGCTTTCAGTTAATGGGTGTTAAGCTGCTGTGTTGCAGCCTCTAGCTATTGAGATCCTATGTAAGCAGCATAATTCAAATTCTTCTGGACAAAACCAAATTTAGTTTTACTCCCATTCTCTACTAGAGAAAATTGCTGGAAGAATTGCAGCAGCCTCTCTGGAAATTTAATTCCCAGTTCTTCACTACTGCATTACTAATAGGGCACCCCATGCTACTTGTGAGGTACTAATACTGTCAGTTTTCCTTCTTCAGTCGATAGCATTTGACTCAGACAATGCAATGCTCATAATAAAAATGCTTTCACTAATTTAAATCAATGGACTTTAAATGTACAGAAGACTGCATGACCCTCACTGCTTCTTGTTTGTATGTGTTATTCTTGCTAGGCTTAAACTGAAATAACTACCTGTATGACTACTGAAGCTTGTGTACTAAGCCTGGTTAGATGCACTTCTAAGCTAAATCAGTAAAACTTTTCTTAATCAAGGAAGCAAACCAAAAGCACGACCTGTAGAAAAGGTAGAGCTTAGCTCCTACAAGCCATAAGCTACTTTCTTCATGATCTAAATAAACACAAAAGCTAAGCAGCAGGAGCACACAGGAAGACCTGCTGTACACTCTCCCAGGGAAATGGATTTTAAAACAAATAACTATATTACTCTTGATAATTTATGTTACAGTCTATCTAAACATGTTCTAGCTTAGGAAATGCCTACATCGACTTCTACCGGCCGGTTCATTTACTTAACTGCACCTAATGACCTGCAGGTGCATACTAGCAAAGCTGAGATGAGGAGGAATGGGAAAAGGTTAAGTACTCCATTTTTTCTCCATTTTAATCAACATTTTACCTAGAAAAAAATCAGTCTGGCAGAAATAAGTAGAAGTGCTTAACAGCCATTATAACAGATATTGTGTATGTCAGAAATAGGGCTGAAACCACAAACAAGAGTCTTCTGTCCCACAAGTGTCTGAATCTTTCAATTACTGACTTATTTCTGCACCTTCACCCTCTCAGCCCAGAGAGCCTTGGTTTGAATACAATGCAACAGCAGAAAACAAGAGCCCCTCTCCAGTCTCAAGCAGTGTGAGTCAGTCAAGAGCACAAAACTCTGATATTTTACACTGAAAAGTAACCAGACTACCCAGTGCTAAAGCATCTTTCTTCTACTGCTTGAGCTACTTTGGGTAATTCTACACCACATTTATTGTACAGGTGCCTAAAACTCAGAGGCATGCATTATGCCCTGGTGCCCACAGTCTAAAAAATTAACCACAGTGACATTCAGCTTCACAACACTACGTAATTCCATGGATTCAGCTTTGTGACCTTGACTTTTTTTTTCACTTCTCATAGATTTGTTTATCTGCTAAAACTTCTGTATTATGTTCTTTTATTCAAAGATGTTAAGTACTGTTGGTTGACCAGGGCAGAAACAAAACACTCCAATAAGCACTGAAAAAAAGATCTGCTACACAGGAATGTGACAGTAAGACCTCAAAATGCTGAAGAAACCTCACATTGTGAGATAAAATATTAAACAAATGATAACTCAAACCACAAGCACAAACCAAAAAAGGACAAAAAAGCAAATCCAGAGCTGGAACATTGTAGTACTTTCCTGTTAACAGAGTTTGTAGGCAGAGAATGACCATTACTTTGTAGTTGTGCAATGAAAGCAGTATCCCCATAGCACATACAATGTAGAAATGACAAACTTTAGTAGTCTTGCTCTCTCTGATTAAAAAAAGTGGAAGTCCACAGTTGCTGTGCTGGAACACATTTTCCCAGTCATCAGTCAGCTGAATTGAAATAGTTCATTTGGAAGGTACCTACAAAGATCAGTGAGTCTAGTTGCCCAACCACTTCAGGGATAACCAAAATTTCAAGAACTTTAATAAGTGCATTGTTCAAATGCTTCTTAAACACCAACAGGAATGTAATGTTTGAAAAAATCCAAGAAAATTCAGTGCTAAAATTCCATCAGTAATACTATTTCAATTACTATGATGAAAAAAAGTTTAATATAGACCAAGTAGCCAGAATGACAAAAAACAAACACCACACACCATTCACAACCATACTATGAACCTGAGCTCCACTGTACAGCATGTATACAGTATAAAGAGTTAAGAGTAAGGGGAAAGATGAGTTTCCTGCAATTTTGCCTTGTGTTAACACAGTATCTAAGATATAAAATAGGACTGCTTATAGAAACATATTTTCATGTGCCCTAACCCAAAGATGCCATTGCTGAAGAAAGAGGACTTAAGAGAAAATACCTTCTGTCTTGTTCCTCACTTCATGTTTCTAGATGACACATGAGATCAGGTGGGTGACAATGGCCTTACTATTGAGAAGTGCTGCCAAAAATAGGACAGCACTTTTGCTCTTTTATATAGTGTTTCAACTCCTGTATTTAAGTAGAATTTAGAACTATATTTATAGCAGCTTCTCTGCCCTGGAAACTGCTTTCACTTGCAGAAATGATGTTCTCTAGTAATTAAGTTGTATATTATAAGCTGCAGTGACAGCCTCTGAGCAAAACAGTTTGGGCTAAGCCTGTCTGCTTTTAATCCCAATTTCTTAACTATTATGAATCAACCTCTCCACTTGTGTTCCTATCAAGAGAGAAGAGTTCATGGAGATTGGTTGTGTCGGATCTTTTCACAGGGGAATTAAGCTGCATTCGTAATGCTGCACAAGCTACTGCAGAGTCAGCAAGCGGCACTGCCTTTCTATCAGAGTCCTCTTAAATCACACTCTGAAGGAAGAGTGTAACAGAAATAGCATTAGCAAGAAGAGAGCACTTCATATCAAGTATTCAAACAATCTATGCCCAGTTTTTGTGCCAATCTCAAATGCATTGTCAGATTAGGAAGTCTGGAGAGTCTTGTTCTCCCATTTGGTGGGAAACAGCTGTGAGAAGACATACAGGAAAGGTAGTCAATATGCTGTACAATCAGGTTCAATTTGCAAGTTCAGAAGAGTTTGTTCCTAGCTCAGACTGTACTGCTGAGCCAGTGCCCATGTGACAGCGAGCCTGCCCAGCTCCTGCTAAAAGGAGTTCTCCCTGGCTATCTCCAGCACACATGCTGTTCTTGCAGACTGAGCCTGTCATCACTAGCTGTACCACCTGCTTGGACTCCTGGGGCCCTTCTGCAACTCCTATTACTAAGCCATTCACTAGTTATAGATTCATCCTGGCAATGGGACAAGGTAATCAGCAGAGACGCTATTTGTTTCTGGATCTGAAGAACATGATCTCCTCCTGAGGTATCAGAAGGCAACTGGTGTCACCTGTCAGTCCAACCTCTCCCCATGAGCAGTGTCTCAGCCATGCCCCAGACTCTTTCACCCCTCCCTTCAGATCACCCTGATCTAACTCTAAAGAGTGAACAGAAGGCTTAACTGCAGGACTGCACAACCGAGGAAAGAAAGAGGGCAGTATCAGGCTGCACTGCCTGGTGAAACCCAAGCTACACGCTCCCATTTCTCTTACAGGAGCCACGAAAACTTGCCATAAACTGCATCCCACTTCTTGCTGCTTTGCAAGAGATGTGAGGGCTGCATCTGGGAGCAGCTGTGGATTTTCTAACAGAGAAGACCAACAGCAGCTGACAATGTTCCTCAACTATGCGTGGCTTTTCCTGCTTCCTGGAGGAAGTGCTGAAAGTATGGCCTAGAGCTAGGAAAGAATGACAAAGCTGGCTAGCATGTAGCAGGAGGGTGGTGCCTGAGGCCATAAGGAGCTTATCTAAGCAGGTCACCACTGATTTGAAGTTGCCTTCTATAATTACAGATAACTGAAAGGCCCATGCAATTCTTTACACACTTAGAGTTACCTGTACTGATCTACCAATGACCCTTGTAATTCCACTTCAACAAGTTACCAGTCTCAAATGCTTAAGCAAGACGTGAAAGAAATTCTTTTTTGTCAACTGTGGAACAGCTTGCCTCATAGAAGGATCATGCTGGAGTAACTTAGAAGTTCCAGAAGACAAGAAAGAATTTTATGTAATTTCATTCTTTCCAGAAGCACGCAGGGTCTGTGGTTTGGAAAACCTAGCACTGCACAGGACTGTTGTAAAAGTGGGCTCATGTCCCAGAACCTCAATGGTACAGGCAAAGCATGCTTCAAAACAAGAAGGAATGAGATATACATTTAATGAAACTGCAAGTAAGTTTGTATAATGCACTTTTGTTAGGTAAACAGTGAAAGCACAGCCTCTTAGGCAGAGCAAGCTTAATGTTAGTTTTGTCATTCTTGCACTGTGACCTGGGCCAGGCTGGACAATCTGTTCTTCAAGGGATAGATGTCATTAAAATACAAGGGAGGGTCTGCACCATAATACAGTAATTTCTCCCTATTATAGTCTGATTCTTCCACAGTCAAGGACGGAGTGGAAGACGGCCTGTAGACATTTCCTAGCACAAGTGATTAAAAATAAATGATCTGATGCATCACTGCTCAGTGGAAGGGAGAAACTCCCTCACTCATCTAGGTTAGTGTGCAGTACAGCAAAGGACAGATTTTTAAAAATTCAAGACAAGGAACACAAAGACATAAATACATTTCCCTACCTATCATTGTCCCAAATAGTCCTTCCTTTCCCTGAGGAGTTAAGCTGCTGTATCTCCCCTTTTGCAGTCCTGGGCTCTATTTATCTCTTATTTGTAATGGAGCTGATGTAGATCTATTTACTGTACTAATTCTTAGGGGAGTACATATCTTTTTCCCAATCCACATGCAAAAGCAATTCCATTTAGAATTATAGAATGCTTTGAGTTGGAAAGGACCCTTCAACTTCTAACACATCTTTGCATTGCCCAGTTTGAGCTCTGTCTGCTTCTGAACTTTGGAAATATACACCCAAATTTAGAAAAGCTTGTGTAAAATTTCTGCCAACTAGCTAGGTTGCTGTGTGTTTCAGTTTTAGCAATATACACTGCTTAGCCTCTTAGTTACCCTTAGGCTGTTTATCCCCACCAAATTATCTATGCAATGCATAAGTGATAGATTCTCACATGATGGTAGCTGAAGCACACTTTCTGCCCGTGATTATACAGCAAAGCAGACAACCACCTTTCCACCACAAGGGAGTAAAGAAAAAATGCCGTTAAATTTGGTGAAAGACTTCTGGGAGCCATGATCTGAACAGCTATAGGAGCCAGAAATCCCCTAGTCAGCAATGCACTTAAACACAAGCCTGCCTGACTGGAATTACTTATGTGCTTAAAATTATACACACACTGAAGTCATTGCCAAACTGGGGCTGATGGCTTACTCTGGCATAGCTAGGTCAAAGAATCACTAATCTACTGTGTACCAACTCATGTGGTTCTGTTGAAATACATAGCTATTCAGAAAGCTGATCTGATTTTCAAATAGATGTAACTGCACTGCTCACTATCTATGTGCTTCACAGTCTGCCTGAGCTACACAAACGTTCTGAATGTTTATAACGTTTGCAAAAACTTTAGTTTCTTCATTTTCAAGAAAATATTAATTAGCAGATAGGGAAGAGCAGTAAGAATTCCTTCTTCTCAGGCCAGGCTATGACTTCCCACTCAAAGCTTGTGTCACTAATTGCTCTTGAAAATAGTTATGTTTTATCATTGTATAAAGACCTTGGTGCAAAGCAGAGTTCTGTTGACTTGGAATTACATAGAACACAGACACAGATCTTACCCTGATGTGCTTTCAGTCTAATTAGGCAAACCAAACATATCACAGAAGAGGAATTAAAGGACTGAAAATAAAAGACCATACAGGTCATTGTTACAAGCTAAATCAGCACAATCAGTTCCTACCCCTGTTTCGACTGTAGAAAACATTTATTGGTGTCTATTAATTCTGACACTTGACAACAACAAGGACTTTTAAAATATTGGTTCTTTCCTACTGTTTAAAAATCTGAGGTTGAAAGCCTGATCTCTATTGGAGTGATTGGACCGGTTTGAGAGATTGTGCTTGTTGCACATTTAACTGGCTGCCTATCCTCAGCATTAGACTTTATTAGATCAGTGCTTCAAAGACAAGGCTATGATGTTCAATTAAGACTACGGCAGCATTCAAACAAACCTTGTACTCAGAAGTGCACAATACAAGAGGGTTCTTCTCAGAAATATCCCATTACATACACACACATTTTCAACCGAGACTGAATTAGTCAAACCCTATTCAATGTACTTATGTTAACACTACAAATCCCTTTGGATTGCAAATCAGATTGGCAGAAACGGGAAGAAAAGGCTAGCTCAGACACGAGGAACAATTCAGGCATCCAAGCTCACAACAGTTATGACTCAATCGGGCTTAATTTCTGGCAGGCAGATTAAAATGCATTGTTTGTACCAAATAAAGCATGAATAACAGTATCCCCTTTGTCTGCCTCTTCATCACACTGCTATTACTAGATCTGCTGGAGACAATCCCCCCTACTGGTAGTACTCGTGAAGAGACTTTACCTTCAGTGTGCTGCTCGCACGAGGTTTTATAGTGAGGCTGGTGTGGGAAGACTGCTCAAGTAGTCCTGTGCTTCTTTTTATCTGCCCAAGTCCTAAGGTATATATATGATGAGGTCACTGCTGGATTGTTCCTGTTCTTCAAGTTGCTCTGATCCAACCACTCCATCTGAAAAATGATAACAAACTTTTCTTAGTAGTGCAGTTGATGAATTAAATTCCAAAGGATGCAACTCCGACTCCTGCATTTTCTATTCTTAATTGGCTTTATTCTTAGAAATAGGGCTAATAAGGCTGCTTTGCAGGAGGCCAAATGGCCATAAGAATGCATTATCATTTCTTCAACCCACTAGGCAGGATGCTGTCATGCTGTGAAATAATAGGGATATTCTCCATTTAGACTGAAAAGAAGCCTGACAGAATCAAGTGATGTTATTTGGGAATAACAATAGCCTTTCTGTTTGTATTGTTTCTGTACCCACTAGAAAATCAAGAATAGATTTTTAAAGTAGCTGTAGGTAATTACTATATATATTATTATATGCATTGTTATATATTACAGTTCATGTTATAACAGTAGCACTTCTTTTTTAATTTAGCTTTTGCTCAGGTGAGACAAAGTACCAAACTGCTCAGAAAGGAAAAGCTAAGAGGCATACAAGAACATTACTATTACATGTCTAGAAAACAAGTTGTGCTTGGTGAGAAACCAACCTGTATATTGAATTAGAACTGAGTAACTTGGTTACCTTCCTTAACTCCCAATGAATTCTGAAATCTCACGTCAAGTCTTTTATTCTTTTTCTTTTACTAAGCTGTGGATGACATACAGCAGGGCACTATTGTTTTGAGTAAAACTACCTCTATACTTGTTCCTGGGACCAAAGAAACTGAACGATCAGAGGACTCATCCTTGTAGAGACCTGCTTTTCCCAACCTGTATTGGTTTTCCTACTTTTCATTACTCCTCATTACAGAAGGCTGAAAACTGTACCATCAATCACTGTATCACCTCAGCACTCCTCCTCCTCCTGGGAGGCACAATTTCAGCCTGTCTAGCTTCCAAAGTTTTATTTTAACAGAATCCACCTACTTCATTTTTTTCCTACTTATGTCAGAAACTCAGGCTGCAGGAACCCATCATTTAGTAAATGTGGAATGCCTCCAGCAGTAACACAGCACACATGGACTACTTTAGAAAATGTAATTATTGGGTTGGCATTTTCAACACATCTCTGAAAACATAACATGTTATAATTTGAGTCCTTACTGTGCAACCACTTACCAACACAGAGAAAGAGGCACTGCAGTGGAGCTGCTCTTTAGTCTCACCACAATTAACACCTGCCACAGGAGATGTAAATTCCTAGCAGCTGAGACCTTCCATTAGCACAAGGTCGAGGTTTCCTCAAACGACGAGAAGAAATTAGAAGTAAAGACATAAGAGACAACATCTTTTCCTACTTTTCTCTTTCTTTTCCCATTTCCCAAACACAATAAGGTTTGTTTTGCTTGTTTGTTTTCAGAATTTACTTTTGAATCCTTTTGCTGATTGGGAATTTTGTTACAACAAGTTTCAGACACAACTCCCTTCCAGTATTTTGCGTGTTCTATCACATTTATACAACCTTTCTTACAAAGTCTGTGCCCTGTGCTGGTAGATGCCTCCTAAAATAGAATTCACATTTGATGAAACATTTGCTGTAGGTCTGCAGAGATCTGTCTGATTACGTAGCTTTCTGCTACTAAGCTGGCTAAGTATACAAAGGTAACTTCTTTCTTGGTATCGCATTTCCAAACAAGTAATTCCACAAGAATTTTTATCAGTCATCCATGGGAAACAATAAGGTAGAACTCATTTTTGCCAACTCCCAAATGTTTAGGAGATTTCTTCCCTGCCCCACCACCCCCATAATGCTCTCCGATAACATCTTCAGGTTTACACAAGGTACCCACATCTCCAGATATGCTTCTAGACCTCATACTGCCAAAGAAAATGTTGAGAACTCAAGGTCTAATATTTTGCTGCTTCTTTGCTTAATTTTAAAATTGATGTCAGATTCTGGCAGAGGAGTGGGTTGGACTACGGGGAAACAGCAGAGGTCTGTGCCAGCAGTGTAAGAAAACTTCTATCTATACTACAAAACATTTCAGTGGATATTGTAAGGTATGGAATTGTTCTAGTCGTAGACAGACCTCGGTTCTTCTCAGCTGCTTTGAAGTTCTGTAAATGCCAATATACAAAGTCACAACACAGAGCAAACATTCAGCAGAATCCTTCATAGGAGAATCTACTGGTGTTATTGTAGCCATAGCCTAAAATACTCTAATTAGCAGCTGCCTCCCATGTTTTAATGAGTCTGTAGCACAGGTCAGTGCCACAGCCAGACAGCCCTTCCCATTTTCATGGCAGCCAAATTAGGGTTTAACTTTCACTCATCTCCTGTTTCTCAGCTGTGAATAATCCCATGCTGCTCAGCCTCTGCTCCCCGCCCTAACGCGTTTTACTGGGCCAGCTGACAACTGCCTAAAAACAAAATGAAAGAGAAAACAGCAAGAAATGCTCCTGAGCTTAACAGTGTGGTGTGAGGAACAGGCTGCATCATCAGCCTTCATCATCTGCAGGGATTAATTAAAGGATAACATTTGCTGCAGAGTTTATGTGATAATAAATAGCTTTTGTCGCTGATTAAATGCCAAACCCAAACCGATTAAGGCATTTGATAATTACAAATGCTGCTTATCATCTTGAATAAACCGTGCCACAGATGCCAGTCCTAGCACACAAGAGCAGCAGCACGCTCACTCTCCAACTGCTCTAGAAGCAGCACTGTTAGCGGTAGGCGAAAGGATTTACAGTCCAAACCGCCCTGCGCTCAGTTTTGGGGCTGTTCATTGGAAACCCACGCGGCCGCGGTTCCGTTCGTGACAAACATCGCCGCGCGCGCGGGGCCGCGCTGAGGCGGCGGCTTCTGGAAGGCTCGGCGGGAAAGGCGCGTGCCGCCTAACGGTCCCGCGCCGCCCAACGGCCGCCGGCCCCGCCCTCCTATGAGCGGCCACGGGGGCGACCGAGCGCGGTGGTGCGACCTCGGAGCTGTAGGGAGCGGCGGGGCACGGGCGTGCTCGTGGTGTCGAGGCCTTTCATGTTCTTTTTATTGTTATTGTTATTATTATTTTGGGCGTTCGCAGCCATCTGCTCGCTATGTGAATGTGTTCTCCCAAGCTTCGTGCTCAGGTGGGAAGGCTGAAGCAGAAGGTTCCCAGAGGTAAGGTGATGGCAACTGCTTCTTGTGTCCCTTGCTCCTCCTCATGGCTCCCTGACCCGTACAAGCCCACGTAAACCATCACGGTGTGGTTTTGGGTGTTTTGCTTTATTTGTTGCTTTGATAAGTAACAGGCACAGCCAAAGAGTGATGTAACTTGTAGCTGCAGGAACACACAGTTCTGCATTTTATAAACAATAATTAACTGCTGCTGACTGTACCAGCTGTGCAGAGCCTGAAATGCTGATCGCATCTTGTAGCGTTTACAAGGGCAGCAAAGAAAGCAGAAGTACCAACTTGGAGTTCTGTGCCACATTGTACTTTCCGGCTTGCAAATGAACTGATAACGTAACTGATCAGAAGCCTAGGGGTGAGCATTACGTTCATTCCAAACAGTGGCAAACACCCGTGGGCAGGCAGTGACTGTTAGTTTGCCTGCTGTGCTGAGTGCTTCTGTGCGCAGTCTGTTGTAAAGATAATGCTCTTAAATTGAGTATGGGTAGTATTCAGACTTTATCTTTACCCGTACTGGTAAAGGTATTGCGGGCTCCAAAAAGAGCAGGAAGTAGCACCTCAGTAACTGCAGTTTGGTTGACAAATGTGTGTTCTGTGAGCAATGATATTTGCAAGATGGAGGCACAAGGGATGAACAGCTGCAAGTGTTCCTCAACATTCGATAATTTGGAATGAGTGAGGATGTGGGTAGTGTGTAGAAACAAGGAAAAAGCTTTGAACTTTTTCTTGAAGTTACACTTGTTTGCAGAGTGTAGCAGAAATGGTAAGTGATGGCTTGAAGCAGTGATTGAGCACCTGGTGGGAAGGCAGGGCCAACCCAGGGGAGCTCAGGTGCATGCAGTATACCTGAATGACTGGAAGAGGTGGAGCCAGGATCCAGTCCTTGCCACACCTCATTTAAAGGTTGGCAGTGGAAGTGAGGGTATTTGTTGGAGATCCCTGCCTACCTGAGTCCTTCTAAAGGTAAGTAGCTCTTTTCCTTCATTTCTGTAGCTGTGGTTGCTGTATCTGTGCTTGTCCTCATTTGTCGTACCCAAAGACTTTGCCATCCTGCTGTTATTGCTGTACTTTCCATCATGTTATAGCATTACACAGTCAAATGTCTATTTTTGCTCCTTAAATGAACCAGCTCCAACTCAGATTAGATGTAGGAATCAGAATGTATTGCTTTCAGTGTGCTGATGTCTTCTTATTGTCCTTCTCTGGCTATGGCAGAGACTGTATATGTTTCAACTGATGTTTTCATTTATGTTGAAACATCTGCGTGAGCTCTTCCCTTGGCTTATTGTTACAGTTTGCTACTTGAATTCTTTATTTCTAGGATGCCAGGTTGTAACTGATAATTAAATCACCATAAATGTAGCATGAGTCACATGAAATGGGGTCAGAATACTTAAGTGTATCTGGAGAAAATAATACTTATTCAAAGAGATATGCAGATCTGCAGCAAAAAGCGGAGCACTGCTAACTAGTTGATTCATGTACTGCTGGTACACTGATAAGAATTCCTATTTTCTCAGTGGAGTATCTAAACAGCCACCCTGCATAAGCTATGGAGTGTAATTACTCTGACATACTGGAAATTTCTGGCAGGCATAGACTTGGTATGGGCAGCATAGCATCGCCCTGCAAAGTCCGCTGGTACCGAGGACACGGCCAGCATGTTCTGCTAGCTTAGCTATTTCTAAGCTTCTGTGTGGCAGATTAGTTTTTCTGGGACAGCCCTTTGGCAGGGTGCAATGTAGTGCTCTTTCTTTTTCCCTGTTTCTGCTTGCCTTGCTTCTCCATAGTTCCTGTACTTTTTGTATGCGAGTTTGAATGTATGAATATGCTATTCTCTACATCTGCTTCCTCCCCTGATTTATAAAAAGAGAAATTGAGCAGTAAATGTTTTCCTTTAGCACATGGAATTCTCTTAGAACTCAACATATCTGCACCTGAATTTTACTTTAGAACAAAATTCTGCAAGTCATCATGTGTAAAAGTGTGTATTTGTTGATGACTTGCTATTAATTAACAACAGGCACCGAACACTGAGTTTTCTTAGCCATGCTTGTGCTGTAGCACTAAAAGAACAGCACAAGTTTTGAGTATGTTACCTTTTAAAGATTTGGTGGAAGAAAAGAGATAACCTAACAAGGTTTCTAAATTCAGGTTTGACTTCCATAACATTACCTGGCTTTGAGTACTCTATTTCTTTGGCTATCCCTTCTTTCTATTTAAGGTCTTGAGGAACTGGCATAGTTTAACATTAACGTTTGTATGTAATTACTAAATGAATTCAGGTGGCAATTTTTTTTAGTCAATATAAATTGAGTCTTAGCCCTGTTCGTTTAAGCAGCAGATCTGCTTATGTTTTCATAGAACTTCAGATTGTTCATCTATGCAGAGGCTTCAGATTTTGAAAAGCAACTTCTCGTCCCATGCAGCTGCTTCTTTTAGCAATCAGTGGTGCACCAGTTATGAATTGTGGTAGTGTGTGGGGAGTTGATGCATTCAGCGTGACGGTGGCTGAATGTGGCACCTGACTCAGTTGACTGGCATGGCAGTGTTAGCACTTTGAGAGGCAGCTGGAGTCATTGAACTGCAATGGAGTCTAACTGATAACAGAAAAATCTATCAGAATTGATAGAAATTATAGTCTTTGCAATACTGTAGCTTAAAGCTTTTCTCTGAAAGCTTCTGCACTAGTATTTGAGATGTATCTTTTTTTCTTTTCTTGACAGCTGTCTTCCATTTACTTCAAAATGTGTGTAATTTTCAAGTGTGAAGTAAGAGGTAGATGTACTTGTTGATTAATCAGGATAAGTGCATCTTATTCCCGATTCCATGGAGGCAAGTAGCACAGTTGTGTGACTATGATTTTTTGTTAATGCTACAACTGTAATTTTATTTGTAGTATCTTTGCTGGGTAAGGAGCTGTCTGGAGGGCCAGAGAGTGGTGATGAATGGAGCTAAATTCAGGTGGCAACTGGTCACGATGGGTGTTCTCCAGGGGTCAGTGCTGGGGCCTGTCCTCTTCAATATCTTTATTGATGACCTCGATGAGGGCATTGAGTGCACCCTCAGTAACTTTGCGGGTGATGGCAAGTTGGCAGGAAGTGTGATCTGCCTGGGGGATGGAGGGACCTGGACAGGCTGGATTGCTGAACTGAAGCCAATGAGATGAGATTCAACAAGACTAAGTAGCGGGTCCTGCACTTTGGCCACAATGACCTCAGGCAACACTACAGGCTTGAGGTAGAGTGGCTGAAAGACTGTGTAGAAGAAATGGACCTGGGTACATTGGTCGATGCCCAGCTGAAGATGAGTCAGCACTGTGTCCAGGTGGCCAAGAAGGCCAATGGCATCCTGGCTTGTATCAGAAGTAGCGTTGCCAGCAGAAGCAGGGAAATAATTGTCCCTCTGTACTCAGCACTGGTGAGGCTGCACCTCAAGTCCTGTGTTCAGTTTTTGGCCCTTCACTGCAAGAAAGACATTGAGGGCCTGGAGTGTGTGTCCAGAGAAGGGCAATGAAGCCAGTGAGGGGCCTGGAGCACAGACCTTATGGAGAACAGCTGAAGAAGCTGGGATTGTTCAGTCTAGAGAAGAGGAAGCTCATGGGAGACCTTATCACTCCCTGCAACTACCTGAAGGGAGGTTGTAGTGAGTCGGGGGTCAGCCTCTTCTCTTGCCTAACTAGTGATAGGACTAGAGGGAATGGCCTTAAGTTGCACCATGGGAAATTCAGGCTGGATGTTAGGAAATACTGCTATTCTGAAGGAGTAGTCAGGTGCTGGAATGAGCTGCCCAGGGAGGTGGTGGAATCACTGACACTGGAAGTGTTCAAGGAATGTTTGGGCATGTTGAGGGATATGGTTTAGTGAGAACTATTGGTAATTGGTGGATGGTTGGATTGGATGGATGACCTTATAGGTTTTTTCCAACCTTGTTGATTCTGTGATCTTATTTGTACCTGGACTGTGCTAGGTAAAGTTGAATTTCATTTGGCTTCCTTGTGCTTATGATCACATACAGTCCCTCCTTAATCCTGCTTGCTTAATAAGCTCAGTATTAAGTGTCACCTCAAGTCTTTACCAAACATTTAACTCCAAAGAATTCAAGCCTTCCTCTGACAATGGATTCCTCTGTCCCCATTTGCTTCTGCTGCCAATCATTAGAGTTTCTGAATTTCTCACTTATAAGTCCCTTGTGAGATGAAGTGATACTATAGTGTTATGCCTTGGTCCTCCTCAGTAGAAGCAGTGAAAAAAGAAATCTTTATAACTTGATTTCCTGATATGAAGAGTCAGAAACCAGTTTTTGTACTCAGTACTCTGAAAATTAACAAATCATCCTTCCAAGAGACTTCAGTTTTAAATGGCTGGCCATTTTAACTTCTTCCAATCTCTGCCAATAGATTAGATTTTACTGAAATCGTATTTAAAGTACTGTACCTGTTTAAAATAGTTTGCGCAGTGGTACTGACAGGTGAAGCAAGAGATTATCAAGTGATGTTCATGTGCATTGGTCTGTGCAGAGGCAGTGCGGACTGGGTACAACTTAAGCTGAGATGTAAACTTGCATGTTCGTATCTCTTTGTGTACAAGAAGCTTATGAAATGGCTTAACCTTAGCATCAGTCTGTTGTCATCTTGCATAGTTATTGCAGCTTTAGCGTTAAAAAAAAAGAAAAAAGAAAAAAAGGAAAAAGAAAACCCTCAAAACAACACCAATGAGACTAGCACCTTTACTAGGATAGACAAAAATCAACACAGTCCTTATTCAGAGAGTGTTCACAGAAACGTTTGCCCAGAGAAGCTGTGGATGTCCCATTCCTCGGAAGTGTTCAAGGCCAGGTTTGATGAGGATTCATCAGCCTGCTGTAGTGGGAGGTGATTCTGCCCATGGTGTGGAGGTTGGAACTGGAAGGTCTTTGAGGTCACTTCCAACCCAAACCATCTGGTGATTCCATGTGCTCCCTGCCTAAGTAACTTGTAGAACCATGTG